CGAAAGTTATGAATGTGGCCCTTCCCTCTCCGAGTTTGAGGACCTGTTCAAGAAGCTGCAGCAAGGATCGTCGCTACGAGGAGACATGTCACAAAAATTGCTTTTTGATATTTCGATGATTTTGTCCGTTGACAAATTTTGACTTAAATTATAATGGTTCCAATCAGATGCAATGCTTGTCAGCCGAGGTTGTTTGGATGGCCAATGCTCAGACAAAGTCTCCTTGATGGCCTGGTGCCTGAACGAAACCATCATTCAGAAGGATAGGGACTTTCTACGAAAATGCCCCACGATTTCCATAGCCCGCGATGGGAGACGCCAAAGACTCCTGGTGCGCTTCGGAGGTGTTACGGATCCTGGGATTTAAAAGTCATGTTGCTGTTAATTTTAAATTTGCTTTCAGGGAACTCGGCTACTTTCGGGGAACTCGGCTACTCAGGACTCATTTCAGATCGGCTATGGCATCATCGGCATGATCAGAGGCTATGGTGAAAGCACAGGAGACATCGTTATTTGGTTGCACAATGGTTGAGCTCTGTTTCTGTAATTATTTGATTTGTTGTGTGTGTGTGTGTGTTTCTTTGTCTTGTTGCTTCCTTTGCACTGTTCCTTCTCATTATTACTCAAGTGCCTTTGCGTTTATATACTTATTGTTGTTCGTCGTCATTGTATCTTTCAAAGTAAACAGTTGAGGCCAGGGGGACACGCGCGGTGCTGCAGAACTTTTGCACCAAGTTCCAGAACCCACCCAGGCGGTATGAGGGACCGACTCCTGAGCTGGATACAGACCTTTATCAACACATCAGAGAGTCTATTGAAGTGGTTCTCTCTGATTCCGCGGCAAATGAGATTGCGGCTAGCAATGTGAACCGCGGGCGTCGCGCCCTTCAGATTGAAAGTGATACTGCAGATACACTCTTGCCCAATCTGAAGTTAGTAGCTCGTGATCACGCTCATTCCTTCAGGCATGTTCTGCAAAGACCTTTCAAATCGTCGGATTACTTATGCCAGTTGATGGATAACAACGTGCTCCATGGCAACTCGATTGTGAGGGTGATCGATGGAAGCTTCGTCTTTCGGCAGTGGTTTGAAATTGAAGTGGGGAAGATGGGTGGCACAGCTCACAACCTGAAATCAGACTCTTGCCATGGAAACAAGTAATCCTGTTTGTGTTGAGTGGCTGGTTTGATCCAATCTTCAAGTATTAGTGTCCCAAGTTTTTCAGTTTGGTTTCAAACAAGGCGAAACACCGTTTTGAATCCCACACTACTCCATTGTGCCGGCTTCTGAGCAACCTGCCTGCTGTGATTGCCGTGGCACAGCGAATAATCCAGCAGCGGCATGATGCCACAGGTGCCTCCATCAGAAATTGGTTGAACTCACTGACTTCTGAGCATGTGCTGCAGCTCAGCATGTTGGCAGACTGCACTGACGAGGCTCTGGTCCTCCTCAGGCTTGTCGATGACGAGCAATGCGACAGTGCTGAATTGGGAAATTATGTCCAAGGCTTTGCAGACCGGATCCAAGCTTTGATCCTCAACAAGCTGATTCTGGACACCGGCTACACCAAATTTACCTTAGACATGCTATCGGAAGGCAAGGTTGCTTTCTTCGCTTCCGGTGATGCTCGACGGCTCAGACCTTGTGATCAAGAGATGACGGACCGATGCTTGGACCACATGAAGGTTTGGGTTCGATTGGCCCTGGAAGTCTTGCGGACGGAGTTCCCTCATTATGGACTATTTAGCTCATTTGGGGTGACCAGCCTGAAAATTTACATAGTTTTGAGGTTTCAAGTCTGAGGCCTTAGGCCGTTTTGGGATTCAACTTTTGAGTTTGGGTTTCAAGTTTTGGAACGTGCTGTGTGGCCAGGTCTTCTCGCTGACGAGCTCTTTGGCCAAGACAAGAACATTCTTCCAGAGTGCTGAGAATGAGAGCATTGACAGATTGGCCAGCTTCTTCAATGTGAGCTCCGGTGGACTGAAGGATCAACTGGATCGGCTCCGACCTTTAGCCCAGAAGCATTGCAAAGAAAGCCATTCCAGCGCGAAAGATGCTTGGGTAGCCACCATGTTGGCTACTCAAAACAGGGGATCAATGAAGGACAGCAGCAAGGTCAAACTATGTCTTTGTTTTAAAAATGTTGCGTTGACTAGATTGATTGGATCGAATTGTTTTAATTGATGTTGAAATGCACTTTATCAATTAACCATCTATGAGCGTGCCTTTCTTTTTTGAAACCGCATCACGTTCACAGGAGTCTTACTCCATCTCAGACCTGGCCCCAGTGATGTACCGATACCTTGCTTGGCAGGCATCCACGAGTGGGGTTGAGCAGAACTTTGCAAAGTCCGAGAGAATGAAGACGTGCGGACAAACACCTGCATCCGCAGAATTTGAAGACCGGGCCTTGCGAATGTTACTTTGCAAAACAAGCCAGGTGGACATGAATGATACAGTGAAGAAGGCTCTGCAGCTGTACAATCGATGCCATGTGGGTGCCTTGAAGTCTTATCATGTTTGTTGTTTCATAGGGCGTGGTTATTCTGGCCACTATTTGTATGTTTCATTCATCTGAGGCACCACCCGCACGCATGTGAAAAAGAGAGTCGACAAGTCAGTGAAGCGCCCTCCTGGACCTGACGAAGATCCCCGCACAGAGGCTGGCTTCAAAAGACTGAGGCACAACCAGGTGAACGACGCTATGCTTGGTTTGGATGATGCCTTGTCGTTGTCCTTTGACTTGGATTTGAACCCAAGTCAAGATAGCCAAGTGGCTGCTCTTTGGGGCGAGGGTCATGAAAAAGAGTTTCAGTTTCAGAAAGGCAAGCAAACCCGGCGGGTCGTTGAGGGCTTCCGTGATGGCCTGCTGGATGAATCAGAAATTGATGAAGCTGATCTAGCCCTCGCCTTGGAAAAGGAGAAGAAGCAGGACAAAGAGCTGGTGCGTGTGAATAAGTCGTTCAATGAGATGGCGTCCAAGATGAATGGCCCAATGGATTGGGACATCCTGACTGGCCAAAAGATTTGGGTGGATTCGACCCTGCAGAACGATCCTGAAGTAGAAGTCTCGCTGATGAAACACAACTTATTTGCAGTCACTGAACGCAAAGAAGCAACTCTTTTTGCAGTCCCTGACTGCACCACCTTGTCAGAACGCGTGAAGCTCTTTGCCGCTTTGTTCGGCCTCAGAGTCTTGGATGGCTCACTTTTGCAAGGTAAGCCAGGCTTTCTTGTCAAGTTCAAGGCATCCATCAACACAAGGCAAAGGGTCTTCTTCAGCAGCCAGTTCCATCAAAAACATCCAGACTTTGAGGGCACAGTGATGCGTGCTTTCAATGTTCGAGGCAGCAAGTGGAAGCCGGCAGATAACAGGTCCGATGCCACTATCAAGTTGGTCACCACGACTGAAGCTGCGCGGGCCAAGGTTGTTGGCGGGGATGATGCGGGGCATCATTGCAAGTCCTCTTTCTTGGAAAGTATTTCCAAGATGGACTTCAAGAACTCTGGTTACTACAAGCCGTAAATGCGGCATACAGGGAACACCTCGGTGGGGCCAGGTGAAAAAATGATGTATGATTGCGTCATTGAAGTCAAGATGGGTTTGTTTTGTTGTATTCATACATTGTCCTGCCCATTGCATAAGTTCTAATCCATTTGGCCATGGTTGGCTGAATAGCGTTCATAAAGCTTTGTCTTCATTTCTAGAAGAATGGTAAATGAACACCTGCTGCTTTTTCAGAGGCTCAAGAGCTGAACATGTTCATCTCAGACTTAATTCATTTTGATGCCAAGCAATGAACGTGCTTTTCAAGAGCCGCTCGAGCCAGCCAGCCACTGGAGCCAAACCTGGTAAAGATCAAGGTGATGAGTGGCCGGCGGTGATGGGGCGACGATGGCGGTGATGAATGTGGCGGTGATGGGGCGATGATGATGGCGATCATGCATTGAGGGATGGATATCAGCGCATGTTTATTGGATTCAACCCATGGGCAACCGCCTCATGGATATGCCGTGCGAGCTCAAACAATGCCTATCTTGCGCGCAGCTTGCTTTTTCTGGTATAGAACGTTAAATGACTTCAGAGCCCGACGAGGCCCGGCTGATGCCGGGCTTTATCGGGCTCTGAAGTTACACAAGCTGAGTTTCTGCAAATTCACAATGTCATTTGATGACAAAAGCTGATTCTGCAATTCTGCAAATTGTTTCTGCTCTCAAAAGCCGTTTCTTAGATCAAGCCGATGTCATTTGAAGAAGTCAAGCCAAGTTGAAAAACACAATTCATGGCAGTTCACGGCATACTTCCGTGATACTTACCAAACCGCTTTCATTGAGCTTTGCCGGCATGCCACACGCCGATGTCGAGCCTAATGCGCTTGGCGAAATAGACTTCCTGAGAATCATGCGTTCCTCGAGATTCACGGATGTCAAGAGACTTGGTGAAGGTGGCTTTGGTGTGGTTTACAAAGGTAAACACGCAGACGGGCAACTACGCGTGGTCAAGTTCACCCCCAACGCGCATGAGGAGCTCTTAGAAGAAGGAAAGAAAATGGCAAAGCTGAGGCACCCATCATTGATCCAGATGTTCAAGGTGTGGCGAACCTCTGATCCAGACTCAGCGTACGTGGAGATGGAGTTTTGCGGTGGAGGAGATGTTCACAGCCGGATTTATGGAGGGCCGACTCTTGCAGCAGAACTCATCCTGTGGCCTGCCTGCATTTGATAAATTTGTTGTCGGTTTGCATAAATTTTGAACTCCATAGTAAGGACTGACTGCAGTTGATTTTTTTGACATGTGTGCATTTTACATGTCGTCATCGTTTGCTCAAATGCAGGAAATGGATCCATCAATGCATGGGAGGCATCCACTTCATGCACAGTCTCTTGTCATTGAAGTTTGCCTGAGGCTCATTTACTAAGAAATTCAAGTTTTTTTCATGATACGATGTCATTATTTAGTCAAAGACCGTTGTTTTCAATCAAGCCAAGGTCACGAAATACTTCACTGTGACATCAAACCAGCTAATATATTTCTGACAAGTGATGACAATGCAAAACTGGGCGACTTTGGACTGGCTGTCAAAGGAAGTCATGCCGTTTGGCTAGAATAAATGGCTGACACGTTTCAATGAAAAAATTATGCCCTTGAGTCCTTGATTGAGAATTGAGAATTGTATGGATGTGATTAGTTTTGATTATCAAGCAGTGGTCAATCTTGTGTCGTCACAGGCCCTTCTGCGCGGTACTATGGAATATCTTCCTGCGTCTGCGTTGGAAACACAAACAGTGTGGCCATGGGCTGACGTCTATGGACTTGGAGCAGCCTCTCTCTGGGAACTTATTGAAAGAGATCTTCTTTTTCCTGAGACGCCTTTGACCAAGGAAACTCATTGTTTGAATTCAATATATGTCAACTTGAAGTGTTTAAATTGACTCCTTTTGTTCTTATCGTCGCTGGAACTGTGCATGAGCTTAAGCGGCCAGGACAACGCTAGATACCCGTTCCCAGAAATGAGTCCAGCGCGAAGTCCATGGCGGGACTACAATGGCCGCCTTCAACGTGTATTCGATGAGGCCAAGGAAGAGAATTCGTCAGCTTCCTTCGCCGACACGGTGGACTGGTTGGAAGAAATCATGCGGCAGTTACAGTTGCAGACAGACGAGATGCCTACTGGACCAGCAGCTATCGAACAACATGTTCGTAAGGTTAGGAAGCGAGGAGGCAAACCATCAGCCAAAGCATCGAATATGGCCAACCAAGCCAGAAGAGTTCGCCGTGCCTCGGAAGCACTAAGTAAAATATCCATACTATAACCCACTTTGACACAAACAACTATAAGATTTGACTTGGCACAGATTGTCATCTATAAAACTGTTGATACATCTTTGAACTACTCAGGAAAAGCTGCCAAGAATAAGAAGAAGAAGAATGAGGGCAACGACAATGGCACGGAATCAATGCCTACTTCTTAGAGGACTGAAGTTTGACATTTGATGCATGAAGACATTCGTTGGTATTATGTTAACAGCACACATTTCTTAATCTTACCCCAAAACCACAAAAACGCAACTCTTAAACGTCGGCCCCCCAAAACGCAACCGCTAAACGTCGCCCACCCCTCGCCGGACAAACCTGGCTTCTCACGGAAAGTTTGGCTGGCGAGAGCTACCCCCCCCGTTGGGGGGGGAGGCTCGCCAGGCAATTCTAGATTCGCTTGGCGAGAGGGACCCCCCCCGCTACGGATCCGTCACGGGGGGGGTAGCCCTCGCCACACGGGCATCAACGGTGGGGGTGGCCCTCGCCAGGCGAACCCAGCTTTGCCTGGCGAGAGCTACCCCCCCACCGGGGGGGGGGGTAGCTCTCGCCGCGACTTTTTACCGAGGGCACCATTTTGACAGCTGGCAGGACTGGAGCCTGAACCAATTCATGACTGCTATTTACCCCAGCGACTTGCCAGTCATTCAGACTTTAATTTTTCAAGTTTCAAAGAAGACTGTGGAAGAGATATAGCTGCTCTCAGGTCTCAAAGGCGCTCTGGCTGATGTGATCATTCGCGGAAAAAAATATGCAGGACTGATTATGTTCAATAATGAACTTTCAAAGACTTGCAAGAAACAAATCTTGTTGCATCATGATTCTTGGGCGGGTGGATTTCGCAATTTTTAGATCAATCTTTGTCTGCCTTGACCTGCCGCGCCCGCCACATCGTCACAACGTGATGCCGGACCATTGGACTAAGTGGAAATTGAACAAAAAGGAGGAGAAAGAAGTAGAGGAACACGAGAAGACGGTTTACGATGGCAGCATTGCTATGGGGAACACCGTTGAGGATGCCCAGAAAGCTGCGCGCGAGGCCAAACTGGCCAAGACCAAGGCGTGCAGGACAAAACCAAAAAACTGTCATGTGCACAAAAAGACACATTATGTTCATTCAACTCAATTCAAAAGATTTCGACCGACTGTTTTTGGAGTTCTTCACTGACAAGGCCATGAAGGAGCAGAAAATGGCCCGAGCGGCCGCCAAGAAATCTGGAACAGTTACCACTGTTGCCACTACTGCTGGGACCTACATTGACAAGGACAGCCTGCCACCGGAGGCCAACACCAGCTACTACGAGAAGCTTATGGACAGCATGAATGTCATCCTAGCCAACCACAACTTCTGTGACATCCAAACTGCAGAGGCGCTACCCATTGTTGATGGAGCTAAGACTTCAGGGGTGCAGGCTGGGGTTATTTGACAAGTCGTTGATTCAAGCAAAAGAAATGCTGTGATTGATTGTGATTGATTTACCATGCTTATTTTAATAATGACTCGGCCAGGAACCCTTCAACAGCAAGGCATGCGAGATAGCCTTGCGCAAGGAGGGCACATACCGCTGCGGGATCAACCTTCTTTGGATTGACCCGTTTGCATCTATCACACCTGCAGTCCCCCTAGACCATTCCCGCGTCGTGGAGCTGGGGCAGTTCGCCTATCCTGATGGAAAAACTCCGAGACACCTCCAGGAGAACTTTCATGTAGCCACCGATGCTGCGGATGTGGACCTTTTGGGGAAGCGTGGAAAGTGGCGAGGAATCAGTCCTGAAGAGATGCAGCACAGTCTCATCTTTGCTTTGGCCAAGTGCATTGAGGACAAGGCAGGTGCAAAACGAGTCATTCAAGACTGATGTTGATTTCATTTTTGAAACGATAATACAAATTTTAAACTATTAAGGCTTGCGTTCATCTCTTTTCTATGCCTTTCAGGTGGACGATGACTGTCTCCAGGATTGGCGAAAAATCTTTTTGACGGCTCCTTGCGTGATTACCATCGTGGGCAACGACGACGATGTTTTGGGAAGCCTTTCGCAAAAGACAGCAAGTCATTGCCTCCTATGACTGTGTCAAGCGGTCAGCTCGACAACTTGCGCATGAGGTCCGTGCTTTCAAGGTGAAGAAGGAGAAGGAAACAGGAGAATCCCTATCCATCAAGGATATCACGGACCTTTTCGGTGAAAAGAAAGACCTGATGGCCAAATCTACTCGTCAGGGTGACATGGCCGACGGATTTGTCAAGGATTGCTTGTATGTCTATGACAAAATGTTGTCCGACCCAGACTGCAATCAAGTCCTTGATCGCTTAGAAGCATTGTTTGGCCTGGGTTCACCTTTAAATTCGCTGAGCAAGCTTCGGGTCGTCATTGAGAAGAGCGAGAACCTCGAGACAAGGCCAGCGGTCATTGATTGTTGACGTCATTGGTGTATGGTGTATATCAAAACATAAAATAATTGAGTGATAAGTTGCGCAACTTGACTTTGCTCAGGCAATGGGTCCTGCAGGTGCTCTGCGACATGATCGAAAATGGGCAGCTGGACAAGGATACCATTAGCAAAGGATATTTGCAAGGGAGTGGCACCAGCGCATCGCTGGTTGAACTGCTGAAGTTGAAGCGAAGCACTGTACAGCACTTTTTGCAGGTTCGGTTCGTGTGTTCTTGAAGCCGGTGTATCCATGAATGATGCTGTTTCTAATTTGTTTCAA